TGGCTCTTGCCTCTTCCTTCCGCCGCTCCACAACAATTGCCGTTTCTTCTAATTGACTGCTATTCCTGGATTTGATGTAAGTCTGATACTGAACTGTTTTTGACACTGGAATTTGTTATTGGATTATCCCTGGACTAAAAACTGACTGATCTTACCTGTGAATGACTTTGGACTGCCTATGTTGAACTTTGCTTAAACTTTCGGGAAGTAAAAACCTACATTTACTGTACACTGTATCTGTGTGCTGTGTGTGTATTATTCAAACACTTCTCTCAAATACGTCTCCCTATATACGCTCATTCTCCTAACGGGGAATTACCTCAACAATGGGCAGCCATATAAATTGAATAAACAAATAGATCAATAAATCTGTCTTTTCAGCTTTTATATGGGCTTCCAATCAAGTGGTGAACAACCTACAGGCTTGATTTCTCCAAAATTTCTGACAAAAAAAAAGTTTCACTGGAGAAACTTGGGCCCATGGGGCTTTCAAAGAGTTCTGGAACTATATCAGAGGCTTTTCACAAATATATTAACCTTCCCTGTTCTTTTGTTCATGAAATCACAGGACAAACCTGGGGATAGAGAGCACAGGAGATGCTTCTGCTCTGTATAATTATCAAGATGACATTGATTTATTGATTGCCTCCCAATCTCTCCTCCGGAGAATTCTCCAAAGTTCACTGTTGAGCTGACATAAACAACACTTTCAAGAGCAATGCAGGAGCCATCTTTCATCTGAGCTTGGGAACTCAGGGACATAAAAGCCTTTAGTGGCATTGAGAGGTTGTGATTCTGTTGTGGTATTGCAAGGGCCCTTTGCCTTTGTGAACTGCTCCTCCAATTCTTTGAGAGCCACCTGACTCTGCAAGAAGTAGAAATGGTTCTATTATTTCTCCTGATGCTTCTGTTCTCCAAGATACCCTGCAAGATGTTGAATGCCAAGTGCCCCTTAACTTTACAAAGGGATGAGACAGATCCATTGAATTACTTCAAGCCAGGAGACTACCTCATTACTGGAATCACTTCTGCGACAACCACCATATTTCGACCATTCACTTTCAAAAAGACTCCAACCAACAATGTTTTATGGTAAGAGAGCATTTTCCCCTCGGATTACTGATGGTTCCCAAAGTTGTAGATGTTTCCGGTCACCCTTCAGTGAGGAAAAATCTTTCTTTATGAGCAATGTCCCTTTGCTAGATTGCTAGAGACAGTTAGGACTGAATGAAAGCCAAGGCACCACTCACCACCATGCCATTTCTGTCTGCACTTCCTCAGTTTCCTTAATGCAAGATATTTTGCTAATTCTTCACTTCAGAAAATATCTTCTGGAAAGGAAAGAGGAAATAAAGAGTAGCTGAATAAAGAGGAAATTCAGGAAACCTACCATCCATGAAGGGATAGTTTTCTCAGATCCTACTTTTTCCTGCTGTTTGTCCTTCTACAAAATTCTTTTTGTTGTTATATGTAGTATTTCCAGTGCACGCCACCCACAAATAACTCCAGAAATGCCTCCCATACCTCTTCCTGCTCCGTGTCTTAATAGTTCTGTTCTTTCTCTTTCTACAGCTATAAAGCAGATATCCTTGCAGTACGAAGATTCTCAATTTCTAGGTGACACATAATGTAATTTTCCCCACTAGGGCAGAGGTGCCTTAACCTTGAGACCATTGATTCTTCCAGTCTATCGTCTCTGACGGATGAGGGTGGTTCAAAAATGTGAAAGATATAATAAATAATTGAATAGAAATATACTTGACAAACTACATTTGTGAATCTATAGTGAAATTCTTGCTCCAGCGCAAGAATGTATTTTATTATTTAATATCTCTATTATGGAAGAGGGTTGGGAGTAACTTTTTAATGTTATTTTGGGAGTCTTTTTCTATATGTCACTTGTTAAAACTTTCCCTGTGGTTCCCCAAATCAACTTCTCCACTTTGGTTGCCATTTTATATTTTCATTTTATTTTTGGAAACTTAATAATACCCATTTCTAAAAAGGAGAAACTAAGAGAATCAATGAAACCAATATTGAATTCCTAACTTTCCTTGGATTCAAAGTAGCTGGATTATCATGTATTTGTATATTCTGTATGTGTGTGTGTGTGCATATTTTCAGGAAAGTAGCCACAAAGTACTGGAAAATCCTGTCCTTCTTGTTTGCGGTCCATGAGATCAACCAGGATCCCCGTATCTTACCCAACCTCACCCTGGGCTACAACATTCATGACAATCATTTTGATGCCAGAACGACATCAGAAGCTTTGGTGGATTTGCTCTCTCCTGGGCTGGCAGATGTTCCAAACTACAACTGTGGAGGAAGACAGAATAACCTCTTAGCTATAATTGAAGGCACACAAACTGACATCTCCATCCAGATTTCATCCATGTCGGGCAACTATAAAATCCCCCAGGTGAGAAAGTCCCTTTTTTCATTCCACTTTAAAGGGTTATAATGGAGAAAAGAAATCTAATTTGCTGGAATTTCGGCTAATGTATTAACGGCTATCAATTCAGTGTTTGTTTATGCTCCAAAATAAGTATATTCTTTAACAAGTACAATCGGAAGATAGATGAGATGACAGAAATGCAAATGTAGACTCTATAAATTCTCAGCAAATGTCAGATGCAGAGGGCAATGAGATGGTAATATGATGGACACATCGCAAGACATTTTTGGATCCCTGCTGATTGCATCTCATTAATGGAGGAACCAATGAAATATGGTATAAGGAGAGAACTTTAGGTCTCCAAGGATCCTGTTTGTGAAAGACTTGGATTATTGCAGAGGATTCTAAGTGAATGACAACAGTAGTGACAATCATTAATATAAATAGGGCACTCTATGCTAATAAGAATAGATTTGAAATTCTGAAACCGTATTCAAGATTAATAGGAGTTTGGAACCAAAGCAGTTGCAAATGCTGTCCTGAAACTGAATCAGTCACCAGTTCCTTCTTCTCTTTACCAGGTCAGTTATTCCTTTGTTTCCCATCTTCTGGGTGATAAAGCACAGTTCCCCTTTTTCTACACCATGGTCCCCAAAGAAGGAGTGCAATATCTGGGGATCCTCAAATTGCTCCTGCATTTCCAATGGACATCAGTCGGTCTCTTTGCTCCAGACACGGACAATGGGAAGCATTTCATAGCAACGATGGTTCCAGGGCTCTTCAAGAATGGGATTTGTGTCGTTTTCTCACAAACCTTTTCGGGGATGAATACAGAGAATATGGACATTGACCGTACCAAAATAGAGAAATGGAAAAAGGTCAATGTATTTATTTATTTTTCAGAAGACGGTTTCTTTATAGATGGAATATTTGTAATAGAGGCATTAATTAAAATTTCAATATTGAACATAAAATCAAATAGTGTGGAATCTACAACACCCACCGGGAAGGTCCTTGTCACCACAGCTTTGTGGGACCTCAACATCGGCTTGGCATACAATGACAATACACATCAACACATTATTGGCTTCTTTTCTTTCCTCATCCAGAAGAAGAAAAAGACAAAAGATATTGATTTCATTCCTCTTTTTACTTCTCTGCAAAACTTTGTGCATAAAGCATTTTGTTGCTTATACTCCAAGACTGGCCCTACTGTGAAAGGCTGGACAAGATGCACCGAGAAAGAAGGGTTAGAGACCCTTCCCCAAGAGGACATTGAAAAAACGGTGTCTCTAGAGAGTACCTACATCTATGACACTGTCTGGGCCCTGGCACGGGCCTTAGATACGGCTTATTCTTCCCTTTCCAAGAGGAGACTGAAAGGTGGTGGAGGAACCACAGTACTGCATATTATCCAACCATGGCAGGTATTTCCTTTCCCATCACAATGGACTCCTACTGAAGGCTCCTACTAACTCATACGCAATCCCAGAATCTTTCGAATATGTAAGCTCTACTTAGAGGGGGGTGGATTTATTTACTTATATCTCCAAATTATCCACAAAACAGTAAACACTAGGCAATGCATGACCTATTCAGAGATATTTTTCTACCAGATTCCCCAAAGCAATGGCAAAGCTCTTAATCTACAGTGGAACCTTGGGTCACGACTGTAATCCATTCCAGGATTACAGTCGCAACCTGATTTGGTTGTGACCAGAAGCACAACCGTCTGCATATGTGCAGACAAAAAAAAATGGTGCTGAAGGGGAAATCGCTGCGGCTGTTTCTGGTTGCCACCTGAAGGTATGTTTGCGACCAGAAACAAAGTTTTTCTGAAAATTTTTGGTCACAGACAGAAGCTTTTGCAACCTAGGGTTCCACTATATACCCTTCACTGGAAAAGTCATTAAAAATTCATGGTGTATCCAGAGATGTATTGGCTTTGAAAATTGCTGATGTTCAACTGCATACTACCATTAAACCTCAGGAACTGACAAGAAATGTTTTAGGATATTTTATATTATGTCATAAAACATTTTATGAGATTGGTAAGTCATAAAATGTTTTATGATAATTTTTATGTCCTAAAATGTCATATAAAACATGCCAAATTTCAATTCCTCGGGAATCATATGTTTTGAATTATGGATGCAGTCTGTGCATTAGCCCATTTGAGGTACCTTAGTTCAATCGTTTCACCCAGTTAAAAGTTACACATAGACAAACCGAGTATAGAGATTGAAATAGGAGCCCAAAGGAAAAACCTGTCATCATTGGCATCTATTTGCCTTGTGGTTTAAGTGTCTTCTTAAAGGCCTGTATGTTAGCTGCACCCTCCATCTGAGGCAAAATATATTCGGAAGTGTGAGATGGCTGAAAGAATGAATTCATTCTGCCCTCTTCAGTTTCAGATGTAGGACTAACATCAGCTCCTTGAAGAGAGACATAGAATCGTTGAAACTATATCAGGAGAAGCCTGCGGATCTCATTTCTGAAGTCCTGAGACCATTAAATTTATAAGAGAGGAAACTCATTGAAAATATATCATTTTCATCATCTCACAACAAGATCAAGTAAAAGCAACTATTTCAGAGTTTATAGGACTGCTCAGTAGACATTTGATGTCCATCTTGACTAAAGGCAGATTCTCTTCTCTGCTGTTCCAGTTTCACCCTTTCTTGCAAGACTCTCAGTTTTACAACACTTCCATTGACGGAGTATATTTGGATGAGAATGGTGAACTAGCAGCTGATTTGGACATTGTGAATTGGGTCAAGTTTTCCAATAAGTCTGTTGTCAGTGTGAAATTTGGGAGCATAGCAAGGCAAGGTTCCGCGGAGCCCTTATTCAAGATTGACGAAGAAGCCATAATGTGGCCCAAATGTCTCAACCAGGTAAGGAGAAGAAGTCATTCCATGTCACTTCCTTTCTCCTACAAGGATCTTCTGATCCTTTCTCAGTATTGCTGTCTCAATGGGCTTTGAGATACTGTGCAATAGTGATAAATAGTGCAAAATCAGAAGATGTGGAGAGACCTAGCCAGAGGTAGTATTCTGCAGGTTCTGGAGAACCGGTAGTGGAAATTTGGAGTAGTTCGGAAAACCAGCAAATATCAACTCTGACTGGCCCCACTCCCATCTATTCTCTGCCTCCCAAGTCCCAGCTGATCGGCTGGGTCTTCTTCGGTTGCCCTGCACAGGAGAACAGAGCTGGAAAGCAGGTTAGTGGGGTGGGAAGAGAATAGGATTTTGCAGTAAACTCCCCCCCGGAGGAGGGAGAGAATGGAATTTTTAGAGTATCCTTCCTCTGCCATGCCCACCAAGTCACACCCACCAAGCCACGGCCACAGAACTGGTATTAAATTTTTTTGAATCCCCCCACTGACCTAGCCCATAGAACCACCAAGAATCAAACATCACTGCTGTGTGGATACCATCAACATCATCACAATACTGATAAAAGAATGTTTGTAGTTCAGGGTTGAAGTTTTATTTATTTATTAAGTTTATTTTCCATCATATAATTTCAAAAGGACTCAAAATAGCAATAGCTCTTCACAGTGCTTCACAGCCCCTCTCTAAGCTGTTTACAGAGTCGGCCCATGGTCCTCAACAATCTGGGTCCTCATTTTACCCACTTCAGAAGGATGGAACCCTGGGTCAATCTTGAACCAATCAGGCCAGTTTTCTCATTTTGAAACAACTCAAAATGTGGGGTCTTTGGTGCTCTAAGAACATGGTTCTTTTCTTGCAGAGATGTCATTGCTCAAACTAGATAACATCATCAATGACCCCGTACAATGCAATACTTGCCATGGATGTGGCAGTTTTCAACATGTGAATGATAAAAATAAATATATTTCTGGAAGCCTATATTCCATTACATTTTTACCCGTCACCCTCAGCAACAGCCCTATTCCCAGTTAGTAAAAGCAGTCTATTTTTCTTGCTTTGCGGCTTAGAGCCTGCCACCTTCCAGATGCGTGGAAAGATGTCATCCTGGGTTCCTGAAAGTGATTCAGAGAGGACGGCCAATTTGCTGCTATGACTGCATTCCTTGTGCGAAGGGAGCCATCTCCACTCAGGAAGGTGAGTGGCTCAGGAAGGAGAACAGGCTGTTGAAAATGATTGCAAATCAGTGGTAGGGTTCAAATAATTCACCCAGGGTCAGATTGGCTGTCATGGGAGGTATAGCCCATCCCTCTCGCAATGGCCAATCTGACCCTGGGTGAACCGTTGTTAAATTAAATTCCCCCACCCCCACCCCCTGCTTTCAAAGTGGATCCTGAGGACTGTGCTACAATGCAGAAACAGGAAAAAGAGTGGCCAGCATGAGGGATGGAGGAGGATCAAGGAGAAGAAAGAGGGAAAGCGGCCTCCTTCTTCCCTCACGCATGGCACTCCATTACCTGTTTCTCCATTGCAGCGCTGTACCCAGGATCCACTTTGATAGCCAGGGTGGTCAGGTGGTGTTAACAACCAGTTCGCCTGAACCGGCGGGAACCAGCTGAATCCCATCACTGTAAATGCAAACCGTTTGGAAAGTATGTTGTGCATTCAGCAATTATTTTAAATCAAGGAAGAAGAAATTATACAGGAAGACAATCTGGGACTTTTTGTGACATGGCAGCAGATCAGTAATCTATGTACAACTATTGCCCATTAAGTGGTATGAAAGCTCTTTTTTTCAGGGTCATATTGGGTCCGTGCAACTGGCTCCCAAAAGAAGCTTCAGTACACAACTGGAGGGCAAGAGAGCATGAATGTTGCTTGTGTCTCCAACTCATTCAAGGCAGTCATGAATTTCTCAGGGCCTGATGGCTACCAACACATGCCCACTGCCATGAATTCATGCAAGAGCAGCTTTTTTATCTCCTTTTTTCATTGCCTCCGGTAGCCTGGAAAAAAGGCTTAATTGCAATCGCAGTCTTCCAAAATATTGCTATAAAATTGGCATTGTCCAGGTACTTTTAACAGCACATTTCCTGGCCTGCAAGAATTCTATCTGCACATTTCTGAATGGTTGCAGGAGCTTCATTACAATTAAAAGCCATTTTACTGAACTAGAACAGCCCTTGAAATGTAGCAAACACTCTTAGTTTTAGATCTATCCTCAGAAGGTATCTAACAATAGGCCACATTCAGATTCAGAGATATATATATCTCTTCCTGGCATAGGGCAAGTATCAAACATAGTAACATACAGTAGTTGCTTCCATTGTCTTGAATAAATTGCTCTATTTGGAGCTGAGATTTCACAATTGAAATACTGAAGGCTGTTTTTGAATGAAGATTGTTAAAAGGAAAAACAGAAATGTAACATTAGTTTATTTGATCTAGGTTAAAATAGATAGCTATGGAAAGAAGAGGTCATTTTTTGTAGTTTAGGGAAAGGTGACAAGTTACTAAAATTGTTTATACTTGTGATGAAGGTGGAAATAGATTAGATAGATAGATAGATAGACAGACAGATGATGATAGAGAAATAGACAAATGATAGAAAGATGATAGATACATGATAAATAGATAGATAGATGGTGCATAAGTGCACCATCGTGCCTACCATCCCTGTCCTATTGTCCCTGTTTATTCGTACCTATTTCCTGTATTCTTACTCATTTTTATACCTATATCTATTATCTTGTAAGCAATTGACAAATCAAATAAATAAAATAAAAATGAATACAATGATAGAGATAAATAGATAAATAGATGATATGGTAGATAATTTCTATCCATATTATTATTTTTTCTTATTTTCCACCCTTTCTCTTTATTGAACTTTTGAAGTAATCTTTATTTGATTTATTTATTTATTTGATTTGTCCATTGTTTACAAGATAATAAGTGTATACATATTTATGAATACATGAAATGGGTACATATAAGAAAACTAAAAGAAACAATAGGACAGGGACAGTAGGCACATTGGTGCGCTTATGCATGTCCCCTAGAGACCTCTTAGGAAAGGGGTGAGGTCAATAGTAGACAGTCTAAGGTTAAAGTTAGGGGGTTTGGGGAAGAAACTACAAAGTCAGGTAGAGTATTCCAGACATTGACCACTCTGTTGCTGAAGTTGTATTTCCTGCAATCAAGTTTGGTGCGGTTAACCTTGAGTTTGTATCTATTGTGTGTTCTTGTGTTGTTATGGCTGAAGCTGAAGTATTCATTGACAGATAGGACATTGCAATGTATGATTTTATATACCATATTTAAATCAGACCGAAGACAGCGTAATTCAAGGTTTTCTAGTTCTAGAATTTCAAGTCTGGTGGCATAAGGTATTCTACGAGTAGAGGAGTGGAGAACTCCTCTTGTGAAATATTTCTGGACTTTCTCAACTGTGCTAATATCAGATACATAATGTGGGTTCCAGACTGATGAGCTGTATTCGAGTATTGGTCTAGCAAATGTTTTATATGTTCCAGTTAGTAGTGTGATATTACCAGAGAAAAAGCTACCTAGGATTAGGTTAACAACACTTAATGCCTTTTTGGCTATGTGGTTACAGTGGGCTCTACAGTGGGCTCTGTATTAGATGATTAGAGGTGAGTATTCCAAGGTCTGCTTCATTATTCAATTAATGCTAACTCCAACAGGAGAGTATTACCTCCTAACAGCAATGTAAAAAGCTTAAAACAACCCTTCCCCTTTAAGAAAGTACCAGCCTGGAGACTGTAAGTCTAGGCATACTACCAAGAATGCAAGAAAGGTGGAAAAAAACAAAAGGAGATTTCTTCCAACAACTGGTTCTCCGAACTGCTTAGAAAGTTAACAACCAGTTCTAGCGAATAGGTGAGAACCTGTAGAATCCCACCCCTGGTTCAGGTCCCAGAGAAAGACTGCATGAAAATGATTATATCTGTTGGTCAAAATACAGCATGTGAAATTTAAAACATGTATATTGTTTTTCAATCAAGATCTCTTGTGGAACCAATTGACAAAGACTATCACCAAGGGCTTTTCCATCAAGATCAGAAATGCTCATTGAACCATTGTAGTTATTGTTGGTTATTTTGGACAAGTGGCTTTATTGAAGCAAGTTAATAAATAGGGACCAAAGGAATACTTGTCACAGATGTATACCTGTCAATATTCTGCCTTGGCAGAGTTTGAAGTTTCATTGGGAAAAATTGAAGAATTGATAAATTTGAGCCAAAATAAGCATTTAGAGGTCGGAATCACTCAAGTAATAATTTTGATCTATTGAAACAAGCTTGAATATAATTCGGATGATCATTACTTTTTTAAAAGAACAGTGTGAAGGGGAATTTTTAAAATATGGACCAGCAGAGAACAGTTACTGGCATTATGCAAATTTATATCAACGCAATCTTCTCTTTTGCACTCCCTAAACTATCCTCTTATGTGTGATTTCACAATGTCTAATTTAATTTTAGTGGCCCTGTTATTTTACCCATTACAGCACTTTCTGTGATGGAACAGGGCTTCCTTTTACTATACTGTGGGATTACTAAGGATAAATAAGGGAAATCTTCTCCTTCATTACAGATGCAGTCTACTGCACCAGATGTTTGGAAGATCAGCATCCAAATGAACACCGAGATCACTGTCTGTCAAAGTTTATCACCTTCTTGTCATATGGAGAGTATTTGGGAATCATCCTGGTTTCCTTTGCTCTATTTTTGTCATTCATCACAGCCTTTGTGTTAGTAATTTTCATTAAATATCATGAAACTCCAATAGTCAAAGCCAACAACCGGGATCTCTCCTACATTCTACTCACATCACTCCTCCTTTCTTTTCTCACTAGCTTTCTCTTCATTGGCCAGCCAAGGAAAGTTACCTGTCTTCTCCGACAATCAGCCTTCATTATCATTTTTTCAGTGGCCGTCTCTTCCCTCTTAGCCAAAACCATCACAGTGGTGCTGGCCTTCTTGGCAACAAAACCAGGAAGCAGTGTGAGGAGATGGCTTGGGAAGACACTGGCCAATACTCTTGTTCTTGTTTCCTCTGCTGTGCAAGTTCTGATATGCTCCATCTGGCTGGGAATCTTTCCTCCCTTCCCTGACACTGACAAGCACTCACACCCTGAAGAGATTATCCTGCAATGCAATGAAGGACCTGTTATCATGTTTTATTCTGCCCTGGGTTATATGGGTTTCCTGGCTCTTGTTTGCTTCACAGTGGCTTTCCTGGCCCGGAGGCTGCCTGGGGCTTTCAATGAAGCCAAGCTGATCACCTTCAGCATGCTGGTTTTCTGTAGTGTTTGGGTCTCCTTTGTGCCCACCTACCTGAGCACCAAGGGCAAGTACATGGTGGCTGTGCAGGTCTTCTCCATCTTGGCCTCCAGTGCTGGGCTGTTGGGTTGCATTTTTTCCCCCAAGTGCTACATTATTTTGCTAAGGTGTGAGCTGAATACAAAGGAGCAGCTAACTGCAAAAATCAAAATATAGATCTTATTTTTTTAGAACTGTCTTTCCAGGGCATTACATAGCAAGTACAAAACCATACTGTCCTATTAGGTGACCATTGCTCCAGAATTTGATTTCCGCTTTTGCTAGAGATGTATTGCAATTCATCATACTTTTTTTCCTTAAGGAATACCCACATTTTAAGAATAATGTATAGAAGGCAGGTTTTTGTGGAGAAAATCCTCACTTCAGAAGAAAACCAAGCATTTGGATACAGAAGCAAAAATGGATTTGTTATTGCAATCATTTACAGTGATGCTTGAACTCTTCAGATTGTAAGAGAGAACCCTAGCAGATTAGCTCTCTTGTTACATACTTTCAATTGATATTTTTGAAACAGAAAAATAAACAACAAAATATTGTGACCCTTTGTCTGGAATGCTTGGATAAACTATTGAACTGATCTCTTTGTTATTTTTCACACTTGCATTATCCTTCTTGACACATTTATATCGCAATATTTTGTTACCCCATTCCATTTTTCTTCCCTAGAAAGACAGCTGTCCAGTTTATGTTAACTGTCTCTGCACACCAAGGTCACAGCATTAGCTTCTAGGTTAAACAAACATGCTGCAGTCTCTAAGCCACCCATTGTTTATACCTGTCAGTGGGCCTGACTTTTATTTTGCAGCTGCTTGCATGCCTTTCTTTTTCAAAACAATTTTTTTTACCAAGAGTGTTTACATGAATGAAAGATAAATACAGAAACATACAAACAAGAGAGAGAGAAAAATGGAAAGTAGAAAATAAAATGTGCAGAAAACAATAGAGCTAAAGAAAAGGCAGGAAAAAGAGATAAAAGGTGATGTCTGTCTTTCTTTACAGCAGTTACAAACCAAACACATTATCCTGCCTCCCTCCTTAATAATACAACCCTTTATTCAGTCCCCTTTCAATCATCCAACCCAGAAATTATTTCACTTTTATCCATTTTCAGCAAAAAGATCAAAAAATGTTTCCCTTCTTCTAATTTTCCAGAAGAATGTTAAGACTGGCTCTATCAATTATTGTGGAGGGTATAAGAGTGTTACTCAATCCAAGAGGTGGCTGGTGGCTTGAGGGTCTTCTCTGTTTTATTTTTTAATTTATTTTTAGCCTGTTAATTTTAGCTTTGTCCTGAATTCTGTTTATGCTTTTAATCACGTGTTTATATTGTTTTTATATGTTGTTATAAACCACTTAGAGTTACTTAGGTGAGGGGGTGGTATAGAAATAAAAGAAATAAATTCTGGTTTTATTCCTGACAAAACAAGTCAGTTTTTCCACCTCTGCTAGTTCTGACATCTTTACCATTGTAGAAATTAAGGAGAAATTAATTAAAGAGAGAACCAGCCTAGAACTAAGAAGAAATTCCCTGATAGTTAGTACAATTAATCAGTGAAATTACTTGCTTCTACGCTGGAGTTTTCTGAGAGACTGGACAGTCACTTGTCTGAAATGATATAGGGTTTTCTGCTTAAGCAGAGGGCTGGACTAGACTTCCAGTGTCTCTTCCAACTCTGTTATTCTGTTATACAGAATACTGATCAATGGTAGTTCGAACATATACTGAGAAGATCCCCAAATGTGAAGAATTAATTGATTTACAGCTAATAAGGGAAGGAGATATATACATTATTCTAAATCAGTGTTTCCCAAGCTCAGCAATTTTAGTTTTGTAAGTCCACATATATTAAAATTTCTGAAGCTGAGAAACTGCTCTAAATATAAGGATATTACAGTAACATTTGAAATGTAGCATAGCTGCTTTGATATACAAGAGGCACCAAGAATCTGTTATTTGAACAAGCTGCAACTTCTGTTGCTGCAGAAGGAGTAGAGATAAGATGGCAATTACTACACACACTTGATCCTATTTATTCCCACTGAATGAATAAATTCTATTGGCATTTGGGATCATCGATACAACATTGGCAGACAGAATTATCTGAAGGTAAGAAGGTCAGCCTATAAATTTTATAAATAAATGAAAATAAAAATTGGCTTTGCTGTAAAAAAAAAATCTTATCATTAAATGGACAATTAAGAAGATAGAATATAGGGTAAAGGTTTAATGTTAAATTTAAAAACCTATGTTGGTGTTTATTCCACCACTCATGATCAGGCCAAAGCACATTCATTCCAAATGCATCTGAAATGATTATAAACTACCCCATCCTTGCTAGAAACTGTACAATGACTAGTACAGATTTTGTGTATAGTTCTGTAGGGAACACTGACAGAAAATTTCTATTCTCCCTCACAATGGTCATTTGCTTGTTTATTTATTTATTTTAAAATATTTCTCAGGAGCCAGGAAAATTAGGAGATTCAGACAGCTCAAATGGGTATAAAGATTTATTGTAAGCTGAAGCTGTCTACAAAAATCTAGCCAACTAATAGTAAAGGGAAATTCTCAGGAGTTAAGGATAGAAAGGAATCCAATGCTGGACTTAGATCTCTTGGAGGTAAGCAGGAAGTGGTGACTTACAATATGTTTGACCCCTCCCTTGGGCTCAGCCTGATCATCTCCTACATTATATAGCTGTTCATATTGCAGTAGAGTAGTGCACAAAATAGTACAAACAACAGAAAACCCCAAACCATGAAATAAAAATAAAAACTATTAAAAAATTCTATAAACGTTCATGGTATACCACAGCAGCAATATTGCTAGCTATAGCTCTATGTTACTGGCATCCATGAGGTGATTTATTTTACTTTCATGGTTAGCTGATCCTTTGTATCCAGCTCCAGCCTCAGCAAAATAATGTAGCACTTGGGGAAAAAGATGCAGCCCAACAAGTCACCACTAGATGTCAAGATGGAGAAGACCTGCACAGCCACCATATACCCTTGGTGCTCAGATAGGTGGACACAAAAGAGATCCAAACACTACAGAAAACCAGCATGCTGAAGGTGATCAGCTTGGCTTTGTTGAAGGCTGCAGGTAGTCTCGGGGCTAGGAAAGCATCTGTGAAGCAGACAACAGCAAGGAAGCCCATATAGCCAAGGGCAGAGTAAAACATGGTAACCAAACCTTCATTGCACTGCACTACAATCTCTCCAGCCTGGGAATGCATATCCAAGTCAGGGAAGGGGGGAGTGGTGCCCAACCAGATAGTGCACATCATAATTTGGACAACAGAACAAGAAAGAACAATGGAATTGCCCAAAGACCTCCTCAGCCATCTCCTCACGCTATTGCCTGGCTTGGTGGCTAGGAAGGCCAGCACCACCATGATGGTTTTGGCCAAGAGAGAAGAGATGGCCACTGAAAAAATGATGTTGAAAGCTGCTTGTCGCAGAAGGCAGGTGGATCTTCTTGGCTGGCCAATGAAGAGGAAGGAAGACAAGAAGGAAAGCAAGAGGGAGCCAAGGAGAATTTAGGAGAAAGCTTGAATATTAGCCTTGACTATTGGAGTTTCTACAAATTTGATGAAGATTCCCAACACAAACCCAATGGTTAAGGAAAGGAATAAGGCAAAGGCAGCTAGGGTGATGCCCAAATCTCCTTCATAAGAAAGGAAGGTTTCAAGTTTGAAAATGCATTGATTGCTGTCCTTATTTGGATATTGGTCTTTATTGCACTTTTCAGCATCTGAAAGAGTTAGGTTTTAGATTTGAACCATGTTACAGTATGGTTTTTTCCACACCATTCAATAATTTATAACGATTGATAGCAAAAGTCAGGGGAAAAAACACAGCTGATTGTATGGAGGGGATAAAAATTCTGTATAATAATATTCATCCCATGCCCCAATCACCAACATTGACCCTACTGCTTCTCTCCTCCTTTGTCCTCAACAGCTATGACTTTCAAATAGCAATAACAATAATACTTAGACTTATATACTGCTTCACAGTGCTTTACAGCCCTTTCTAAATAGTTTACAGAGTCAGCATATTGCCCCCAACAATCTGGCTCCTCATTTTACCAACCTCAGAAGGATGGTGTCAACTTCGAACTGAGCCTGGAAGAAGTCATTTTCCTGTTCCTTAGTTGCCACATAGAGAGGGAAGGGTGTGGAAGGTGGTTGGAATGCTTTACTAGACAAAATAGAGAGCTTTCTTGTGGGAACTAAGGCAGGGGTGGGTTTCTACTTGTTCTGTCCACCTCTGTAGAACCGGTAGCTCTGAAGAGCAGCAGACATAGAACCGGTTCTGTATCTGCTGCTGTTTTGGCCCCCGGGTTGTTACCTGATCTTTATTTCCTGCTTTTTCAACTTCAGCTGCTGTGTGAGGCACAGCTGCAGTTAAAAAAGCAGGAAAAAAGTACTTTTTTAAAGGCTGCTTCTCAGCACTCAGCGCCGCTCAGCTGTCTAGGCACCAAGCTGATGACGATTTACAGGCATGTGCGCAGCATGCAGGCAAGCACATAGTAAATCACCGAACCTCATAAATCACCGAACCTGTAGTTAACCCTGTCGAATCCCATCCCTGAACTAAGGTTATCTCTACTCATAATGGATAAGGTTGGGGAAGGAGTGTCTAGAGACCTCATTAATTAATCTAATGGGACAACATGACTTGTGACACTCCTGCTTTTTCCTAAGAAAGCTTCCGGATTTCTGTGCATGAAGAGGACAGGGCAGTTGTTTTAACCTTTTGCTTCCTCTGAGGATCTACATCTACCAGCTTTGGTGCTATTATCTCCATAGTAATAACCTCATCTTGAATTTTATATACAAAATGTCAACAGGAATTAATTAACCCGAAAAGCTGCCCTCCTTCCTGACACACAGCCAGGTAAACCTGTGGTATTTTGAAGATGCCCAAAATGGTTGAAATCTGGATGGAAATATCAGCATCAGATCTTTCAAGGACAGCCAAGAGGTTTTCTTCCCTTCCACAACTATAGTTTGGAACATTTGCCTCCCCAGTAGAAACTAGATTTAGCAGACCATCTGAAGTCATCCTAGTGTCATAATAGTGGTAGATATTGTAACCCAGAGTGATGTTGTAGAGAAGCCTGGGGTCTTGATTGATCTCCTGAATGACAAAGAGGAAGGAGAGAATTTTCCAGAACATCATGGATCCTTTCCTGCAAATCTATGTTTACAGAGTATCCTATAATTTATTTAATTTGTGCTTTTCAGTCTTCAAAATGTTTTCCATGTAAAGTTGACACTAATCCAGAGTCAGAGTTCAAACCCAAGTGTCAACTAAAATTTAATGCTTTGGTCTATTGATGGTCTTCTAACCATGTTCAGGGGCTGTTTTACAAAAAAAAAAATAATCCTATGAATGAATGACTATGCTCGTTATCTGCTCAATCACTGAAGCTTTCTTAGCAAATTATGCTGCAAAACTACAAAAAAGACAGTCCAATATGCCATAGAGTAAAAGGTACCATAGGAAAATTAGGAAATAAAATCCAAAATATCCTTAGATAGCAATCATTTGAATGGAAGAAGTAAAGAAGTTGAGTGTGTAGAGGTAAAGTTGCTAGACTGGCAAAGGGAAACCCAGCTCCTAAACTACTTCTTGAAGCTCCCTGGAGGTCATTGGGCCAATGATTTTGATGGCCCTCATAAGAACAGAAGAATTAAAACCAAGGATTTTATGCCAGGCTTTGCTAATATACTTTGTCTGTTTAGATAAGTGGTGCAAACTATGGCCCCTTTATGACCTGTGGACTTCAACTCCCAGAATTTCTGAGCCAGCCAAGCTCAGGAATTCTGGGAATTGAAGTCCACAGGTCAGAGAGGGTCCATAGTTCCCCACCACTGGTTTTGACAAAGGAAAGGAAGTATTTAATTGGGACTGCAGAAGAAAATTGCATTGACACAGCTTCAAAATCATTGCCAGGAAAACTGACTTCCCAGGTTTACTGGAAACATACTGGAGAAAAATAGCTTTGGGGTGCATTATTTTTGTACTTTAAACTGATTTTTTTCAATTTTATAACATTTTATATTTACAGATAATATATAATTTAATAAGGATTTATTACATTTATTAAATATATAAGACCATACACGAGAATAATATACACGTATGACTCTAATTTTGTCACTTGTATCCTCATGATTTATATTGACTGTTTCCTAGTATGATTTGATCAGGGGTGGGATTCAATTTTTTTAGCAACTGATTCTGTAGGCATGGCTTAGTTGGTGGGCGTGGCTTGGTGGTAATGTGACTGGCTGGGCGTGGCCAACTCAACATCACTCACATTGAGGCACGCATCTCCTCGCCTGGCCTCTCATGACTGTGGGAATGCTGCAATAGTCATAAGTGTGAAAAATGGTTATAAGTCACTTTTTTCAATGCCATTGTAACTTTGAATGGTCACTCCACACAAGCACAGTACCAGCAAAGGAGGGGAAAAAAAACTCCAGAGAAATTCCAGAGACAGGAAGTCTAGTCCTGCAGTTTCTGTAAGCAACACCAGAATGTTTCCTTCTTGCCTTCCTTACAGGATTAGACCAGTAATTTCTTCTAACAACCAGTTTTCCAAACTGCTTAGAATGTTAACAACTGGTTCTAGCAAATAGGTGCAAACTGGTAGAATCTCAGCCCTGGATTTGATTGCTTATTGTAGCCTGTGACTATCATTAAGTGTTGTACCTTATTATTCTTGACTCTTGATGAATGTATTTTTTCATTTATGTATATTGAGAGCATTTGCACCAAGACAAATTTCTTGTGTGTCCAATCACACTTGGCCAATAAAGAATTCTATTCTATTCTATTCTATTCTATTCTATTCTATTCTATTCTATTCTATTCTATTCTATTCTATTC